TCGTACATTAATTTTTAAAAAATCAAATACCACATATTCAATGTTATTTATTTACTTATGTAATTTAATGGTAGTCAGTATGAAGAACTATTTAGAAAAAAAAATTAGTAGGTGTCATTTATTAAAACAAACGTTCTAAAAATTTCAAGTTTTTTAAATCTAGTTTTTTATTTATTTATTTATTTATTTTAAATTTATTGTTAAATTTAAATAGTTACACTGTGCAATGGTAAAATATTTGTTTCTTTTTTATTTTTATAAACAGTAAATTTAAAATTTGACATTTTTTATTTTAAAAAAATATGGATGTAAATAGTCAAATAATAAAGAAAGGATGATGGAAAAGAGAAAAATGAAGAAGAAGGCGTTAGTTAGCCCCCTCCCCCCCCCAACATCACTTATAAAGTTGTCATTATATTTGTTAGAGTTTTTTTTTTTATTTATTTTTTTTTTATTTCACTCTTATGGGAAAGTAAATTTATTCAGGTATGAGTTTCACCTCAAGTCACTACATATACGTAATTGAAAACCTGCACTAGTACATGTTGCGTAACTATTGCGTTTTTTAATTGTTCATCTTTGGTTCTTATGTAACCCGCCTCTCCCCTCTCTCTATTTTCTGTGTATTTAATTTTTTGAAAATTGTTTCAACCCGTTTTTAAATTTGTGTGAATCGAGTTTTTTTTATATTTATTTTTATATTCATTCTGTTTTGTGTAAATCATAACATCATTATATATATATTAGTTATATAATATGTCAGACTGGGTAAAATAATAATGTATACTTGGAAAATGTTTTCGCGTTTTATAATTTATTTTCGGGTATTACTTTTTGATTTGTTATACAAAAAGGAAATAACTTTTTTTAACGGTTTTTTTTTTTTCACCATCACGGTTTACAATTGAAAAAAGGAAACGCAAATAAAGAGGCATTGAAATATTATAAATTGATTATTATGAAAATTTTTAGTGTCACATTCACTTTTCCTTGACTTTAATTTCACGTAAGACTCTATTATCGTGGCATTTACGAAAAATTTATATATATATATTGTATAAATATATGTTTATATTATTAACAATATGTATACAATGTTTTTAATTTGTTGTAGGGATTATGAATTTGTTAGTTTTTATTTTTAAAATTGTGCACTTGTTGGTCTTGATCATTTGCTGCTTGATTTTCATTCATTAATTACTTTTTGTTATTTTTAATAAAAATTTATTTATTTTCGTGTTCCGTATTTTTTTTTTTTTTTAATGTTAAATAAGCGTTTTATATTTTTACTTCTTTTAATTTTTCCATTTTTTTTTTTTTTTGAAATGATATTTACGTAATGTTGTTATATATCGATGATAGCTTTCATTGCAGAAAAACTTGACTAGTCAGACTAATGAATTTATATCGGTTTATGCAGTTTTAATTTTTTTTTTATTAATATTTTATTATTATCATCATTATTATTTTAAATAATTTGTAAAAAAAAAAAAAATTAAAAGTTGTTTTTTTTAATAAAAAGTTGTAATAAAAAGTATATTAGCTGTCAAATCAGTTGGTTGGTCGGGATGAAAGGTAATTAACGTACAGATCGATGGTGACTCGAGCTTGATAATTTTTTTTCTCAAAATATAATAAAGAGAGAAAGAGAGGGGGGGATGGGGGGAAGGGGGAGAGAGCATTATTTAAACTTTTTTTTTTTTTTTTTGAAACTTTAGACAAATCTCATGGCAAAATATTATTATATATTAGAACGCAGATCTCTTTTAGGAAGACTAAATTTAATTTATTAAGGAACCCCAGTCGTGGATACGAGAAAAATCTTTTTTTTTTTTTTTTTTTTTTTTTTTTTTTTTTTTACTCGCAATTCACGTTCTTGTTTTTCCTTGGGCTTTTTTTTTTTTTTTTATGGGTAGAGTTAAATAATGTGATGTAATCACATCAATATCTCTGTATATTCTCGGTGGTGGTGGTGGTGCTGCAACAAGATCAATATTAAGCGGTAAAATAAATAAATTCGACCGCCTTTGTATATTACACTATATATATATATTTGGACCTTGGAAATTTCTTTTAAATTTCTTTCAATAACAATAAAAATAAAATGCATTTAATTCATTTAAATCTTTTTTCTCACGCAAACTTGCACAATTATTATTATCATTATTATTAATAGACAGGCAACAACGTGTTGTGTGTGTGTTTTTCTGTAATGAAATAAAGATTTGAATTTTTTTTTTTTTTTTTTTTTTTTTTTATTTCCAACGTGCGAGTATCATTTGTCTAGTTTTTTTTTTACAATTACAAATGGGAAATTTATTTGACTTTTCTTTCCGATGCAGAAATAAATAAATAAATAAATAAATATAATTTGCGGCATTGACCCTTTTATTCAAGCAACGTGGCGGCGTGTTGTGATGTATATTCGGTGACGCAAGCGTTGAGTCATTGCTCCCGCTTACTCGATGCATTTTCTTTGTTTTCAAAGAATTATCCCCTGAATGTTGCTACTTTTTTTTTTTTTTTTTTTTTTTTTTTTCATTCGAAACAATACTTATTAATGAAAATTTTAATAAAAACCTAAAATTAATTAAATTACTCTCGAATTAAATATATTCGAGTTCGCTCTGCTACAATAACAATAGTAATAATAATAATAATAATATGAATTAGTTTTGAATAATAAAAACAAAAACAAAAACAATGTCATCGTTTAAATTTTTTTTTTTTTTTTTTTAAGCGTAAAGTTACGATATTAGTTATTATAGATATTATTATTATTATTATTATTACCGAATTAATTTTTAACATTTTTTTTTTTTTAAAAAAAAAAATTTAAATTTTGCAATAGTTGAATGATTACCATGTATATATAACCTTCTCTTTTTGTTTTGGTTTGGTTTGGTTGATTTTTTGGTTTTTGACCAAAGTTAATTTTCAAATACTTTTACTTTTTGTTTGAACAAACTTTGTCAGCCATTTATTTAAAATGCTAGGAAAAAAAAAGAGAAAAAAAAATAAAAGGAAATTCGTGTTTTCATTGATTTTTGTTGAGTCACCTAAAGTTTGTATGAAGATGATTCTTTAAAACCCCTTCTTGGCTTAATGCTATTTCCTTTCGATGGCTCGTTAAAAGAAAAATAGAAAAAAACAGAGAAAACCCTTCTAGAAAACGTGAATTTTTTTTTTTGTCAATATTATGTGCCAACTATTCTGGTTTTTCTTTCTAGCCTCCTAATACCCAAATCGTGCAACAAACTAACTAACTTACTTTCTCATTATGGCCAGCCATGCCTTTGAACGATTCGCTATTCGTTTGGGTCTGTGAAATTAAGATTTCATAATTATTATTATTATTATTATCATTATTATTTTTTTAGTATTATGAAATGTAACTCTTTTCCACTTTTTTTTTGATTGCGTCAATTTATGCGATAAAATTTTTCTTTTTCTTTTTTTTTTTTATTTTTTCGTGCAAAATTATTAAATCTTGCATCGAAAAATTTCATTTTGCAATAATAATAATAATAATAATAATAATAATTTCTTTCGTTTTGTATTTAACTTGAAAAATCTGTCGGTTATCATTTACGTCTGTGGTATTTATTTTATTTATTTATTTATTTATTAAAAAATGTGTTCACTTGAGTCACGTGACTTTAGTAAAAATTTAGACAAGTTAAAACTTGACTACTTGTTTAAAAAAGGAAAAATTTTTTTCTTGTAATTTTTTTTTTTTCGTAAAAAATATTATTATTATTATTATTATTATTATTTTTTTTTTCACGTTAGATTTTCACTTTATTTGTTAGAGTCGTTCAAGTCCAAAGTGGGTTGGGGTTCACTGGTTCACTATTTGGTCATACTCGTTTGATGATTACATCATTTTTTAGTCTTCCCTATTATTTTCGCGTTCCGGTTTTTATTTTATTGCTTCACTAATTCTTCCGCCTACAAAACTCAAACCCGCGTTCTTACTTTTTTTTTGTCATTAAAAAAAAAAAAAATTGAAACGAAAATGAAACTTGTGTGAATAATAATATGTGGCGTTTATACATGTGCCTAATTTTTTTTTTTTTTTTTTTTTACAGGATGGCCGAGAGGTGTGTCCATCCAGTTCGAGCCAGAATAAGGATAAAAGGTAAGCAAGCGTCCCTGTCATTATTATTACAGCAGAAAAAAAAAAAATTTCACTTTTTTTAAATTGACGATTTATTATTATTATTATTATTATTATTATTATTATTATTATTATTATCGAATAATGATTGGTATCATACGAGAATTTTAAAAACCTTTTCGTATTAATTTATTTTATTTTTTTATTATTATTATTATTATTATTTTTTTTTTTTTTACGGAAATTTGTGTGATTCAACAATTTTACGTAATAAATATGCGAGCACTTTAATTATTTGCACGAAAGCATTGCTTAATTTATTTATTTATTTATGTAATTATTTATTTACTATATGGTTCGTAGTTTTTTACATTTCACTTGTCCTTACATCGATTCGATTCGATTTGTATCGTTTCATAAAAATATCAAATCGAATACAATATTTTATTTTCATTATTATTATTATTATTATTATTATTAAAGAAAACTTAATTTTGCTAAAATAATAATAATAATAATAATAATGATAATTGACACGGTGATGTGAATAACTTCCGACTTGTTTTGTAATTTAATATCAATATTATTTTCTAATATTTTTCATACATTTTCCCGAGGAAAAATTAATATAAAAAAAAAAAAAAAGGCACAATGACAAAATAAGAAAATAATAATAATAATGATAATAATTCCCGCAAATTAACTTTTACGTAAAGCTCAGTTTTTTAGTTTTAGTAAAATTTATTTTAAAGAAAGCTGGCGACAAAATCAAATTGTTTCTATGGTAACCCTTTATAGATTAATTGTACTCTCACCTACTATTTACATTTGTCGAAATCTTATTAGAAATTTTTTTTTTTTTTTTTGTTTCAGATTAAAAATGGCTTCACCCACTCCGTCAGTAGATTCCGTTTCTGGTGGAAATCAACTGAATTCACTTTTGTTAGATATTATACAAAATTCATTGGGCTCTCCGATTTCCGATAATAATTCTCTTGGTTCTCACATATCCTCGGAGCAAGGAGAATTTAGGTCTTTGAGTCCCTTGGAAAACGGTTCGACTTCGGGTTCGACTTCGAGTTCGGCCTCGGTTTCATCGACGAACCGGTGCCCCATTTGCAACGACGCATTTACAACACCCAAAGTACTGCCTTGTTTTCATACATTTTGCCAACCCTGTTTAGAAAAAATTCAAGATCACCCCGATAAGATAACTTGCGTCGTGTGTCACCAGGACACGGTACTCTCTCTCAACAAGGGCATCGGAGGGCTTTTAACGGACTACACTGTGAATTTTATTGACGGTAATCAAGTTCCAAGATGTACGGGATGTAAGAATAAAAAGACTGACGCAGTAGCCCGTTGCTTTGAATGTAACAATTATTTGTGCGAAAGTTGTGTTATGGCACATCAATTTATGCATTGTTTCGAAGGTCATAGAGTTATGAATCTGGACGCGAAAGAAGATAATTCTAAAAACGGATTGAACGGAATCAACGGTCTGAACGGGCTGCACGGCATTAATTCCGCATTGCCGGCAGCTTTAAATGGGCTACTGTTAGACAAACCTGGCTTTTGCTCAAGGCATAAAAATGAAGTACTTAAATATTTTTGCTGGACTTGTTTTTCGGCCATATGTCAGGAATGCACTTTGCTCGACCACCCGACAGGATTACACGAAACGGAAAGCTTGACCGAAGCGGTGCCTAAGTTATTAGAAATGGTCGGTCAAACCATTCAAGAAGGTCGCGCCAAAGCCCAAGATATTCGTAACATGGTCAAAACGTTGGAACATAACACGGCGAAAATTCAAGTTCAGTATCATAAAGCTCAGAATGAAATAAATGACACGTTTCAATTCTACAGATCCATGATCGAGGAAAGAAAGCAAGAGTTGTTGAAAGAATTGGAAAATATTTTTTCCTCGAAACAAGTCCAAATGTCGGTAGTGGGTCAGAAAGCTCAAGATGCCGTTGAAAGAATTAATCAAACATGTGATATGGTAGAAAGAATTGCCAAAGAAGCAACCGGATCGGAATTATTACTGTTTAAAAAACTCCTTGAAACTAGACTGCAACCCTTGGTGAATCTTAACATGGATTTATCGAACGCTTCACCGTGTGATTTAGAATTTGTTTCCAATTATCAAGCGATACAAGTCGGAGTTCGAAACACTTTCGGATACGTTCGTTCGAATTCCGAAGTGACTTCGGGTCCGAGCAAACAACCTCCGATCGCGAGACCAACAAGCAATGGAATAAGCGGAAGTGGATCGTTAAATGGAGTCAACAACGGATTATCAGGAGGAATGGGCGGCGTTCAAATAAACAATGTGTTAGAAAGACAGTACGCTAATGGACTCGCGCCTCCCCCGAGCACATCTCCGGGCCTTTTCGAAAACAACATATTATCTAAGAGATTTAGCAGCATCAATTCGCTAGGCCCTTTTACTCCCACGGTGGGAGATTTGAATCTTAACGGCGTGAATCCGTACGAAAAGTGGAGCAACGGTTCAAACGGTGACATTTTTCCAAACGGGGACACCTTTTCCGTATCACCGGGTCAAGACGTTTTAGATTTGACATCAAAATTAATGTCCACGGCGATATTTCCTCCGAAATCACAGATCAAACGACACAAAATGATTTATCACTGTAAGTTTGGCGAGTTTGGCGTGATGGAAGGTCAGTTCACCGAGCCGAGTGGAGTCGCCGTCAATGCTCAAAACGATATAATTGTTGCCGATACAAATAATCATAGAATTCAAATATTCGACAAAGAAGGTAGATTTAAATTTCAATTCGGCGAGTGCGGAAAACGCGACGGACAGCTATTGTATCCCAATCGCGTGGCCGTCGTTAGAACTTCGGGCGACATAATCGTCACCGAAAGGTCGCCCACTCATCAAATACAAATATACAATCAGTACGGGCAATTCGTTCGTAAATTCGGAGCCAACATACTTCAACATCCGAGGGGGGTCACGGTGGACAACAAGGGGAGAATCGTCGTGGTCGAGTGCAAAGTAATGAGAGTTATTATATTCGATCAGTCGGGTAACGTTTTACAAAAATTCGGTTGCTCGAAATATTTGGAATTTCCCAACGGAGTCGTCGTGAACGACAAAAAAGAAATATTCATAAGTGACAATCGCGCGCACTGCGTCAAAGTCTTCAGCTACGAAGGGGTTTACCTGAGGCAAATAGGTGGGGAAGGAGTGACGAATTATCCGATCGGAGTGGGAATCAACGCAGCCGGAGACATACTCATAGCAGACAATCACAACAATTTCAATTTGACCATATTCACTCAGGATGGTCATTTGGTTTCCGCGCTGGAATCAAAAGTCAAACACGCGCAATGCTTCGACGTTGCTCTCATGGACGACGGATCCGTCGTTTTGGCGAGCAAAGATTATCGTCTATACATTTACAGATATCTTCAAGTTCCTCCGCTGGGTATTTAAAAAAGAAAATCACACACGTGATTGAGGTGTTATTATTATTATTATTATTATTATTAATTTCTATCTCGTCACAACGACATCATTTATTATTATTATTATTTTTTTTCTCTCTCTCTCTCTCTCTTTCTCATTGAAATGATTTGACGCAACTGAAAAGAGTTTTTCTTTTTTTTTGGAAAAGCGTTTTACTCTTATTTATTCGAGTGAAAATATTTCCCGCGTAAAATTGGTCATACATACATATATATTTGTTTTTTATTATTATTATTATTATTATTATTATTTTTAAACCATTCGCGAGGATTTTCACTCTCATTTTTTTTTTCTTGCCCAAAAAAAACTAACTAATGATAATAATAGTAATAATAATTTATTATTATTATTTGCCCCCCATTTTTTTTTTTTTTTAATTGAATTGACTATTATTATTATTATTATTTTATTTTTTTTTTTTCATAATTTTAAGCTTGTTTATTAGGAGTTAAGTAATTTAAAGAAAAACGTAAAAAAAAAAAATAATAAAAAAAAAAAAAAAAATTTATAAATTAAGAGGATCTCAGCTTTTATTCCCCGTGTTGATAATATTATTTATATATATATATATATATATATATTATTATATATTAATATATATGTATGTACGTATAGTCACTTTTGTTATCCATGAAATAATAATAATGATAATAATAATAATGATTACGAATTTTTTTTTATTTTGTTTTTTTATTGATAATAATTATGTAGTAATTAATAACAACAACAAAAACATTAAACTAAAATTGATTTGAACAAGTAATATGAGGAGCAGAAGCAACAGAAGCAGGAGCAAAAGAAACAGCAGCAGCAACAGCAGCAGCATGTTAAAAATTTGTTATTGTTGATAACTCTACTCATTGTGAAATGATGATGTAAAAAAAGTGAAAAAGAAAACATATCCCATAAAATTTTTTCCCCTTTAAATTTATCCCTTTTCCTTCTCCTTCTCCTCCTCCTCCTCCTCCTCCTCCCACTTCTCCCCTCCCCCCTTTTTTTGTTTTTCACTTGTTCCCCCTTTTTTAAATTCCAAAATTAAAAAAAATTTTATTTATAAAAATTAATCATAGAAGAAAAAGTTGAATTTTTAAGCAAGATGATAACTAAATAATAATATTAATAATAATAATAATAATAATAATAATAATAATAATAATAATAATAATAATAATAATTTTAACCCCCAAATTTGGGACCACATTTTGGAAACAATCATTTTAGGTAAAAAAAAAAAAAAAAAAAAAAATTTTTTTTGCAGGACTCGTTTTTTTTTTTTTTTTTTCTTTTTCACATTTTTGTGCCGGAAAAACTGATATAAACTCCCGCACAAACAAAAAAAACACAAATAATAATAATAATAATGATAATAATAATAATAATAATAATAATAATAATAATAATAATAAATTTGAAAAAAAAGAAGAAGACTGATTTAAAAGTTGTATATTTTTAAAAATTATAATAAAAGGGAATTGCAAAAAAAAAAAAAAAAATTTCCCGAAGAAAAAAACCGTAAAAAAAAACCAAAAAAAAAAAAAAAAAAAAATTTTTTTTTTAAATAGAATTATAGAAGAATGGGAAGAATTTGGATGTTGCGAATGATTTTTATTAAATTTATATTATATATAATATAATATTATATTATATGTAGTGTGAATGTATGCATATATACATATATTATTATTATTATTATTATTATTATTATTTAAAAAAAGGAAAAATTTAAGGGTGTTAAACCCACCCGGAAAATTGTTTTCATTTTGATTTCATTTTTTTTTCGTTTTGTTTCGGCCGAACGCCCTTCCGGTTATAACTTCCAAATAATAATAATAATAATAATAATGATGATGATGATGATGATAACGTTTTTTTTTTATTAAATACAATGTTTCGACCATTCCAATTTTTTTTTTTTATTATTATTATTAATATTATGAATTGTTGCATTTTTAATCGTATTATATAATGTTTATAAAAAAGTTGTATAATATATTTATATATATATATATATATATACACCCACACGTGTGCACGTGCGCGTGGGGGGAAGAAGAGTTAAACCGAAAACGAAAAAGAAAAGTTTAAAACCATTATCATTATCATTATCATTATTATTTATTTTTTTTTTTTTTTTTTTTTTTTAGAAAAAATTTTGTGCCAAATGATTGCATTTTGCATTTTATTTAATTTATTTTATTTTTACGTCTTTTAATTTTAATTGTGAATTTTAATTTAATTATTCTAAATTTTTAATTACAATTTAATTTTTTAATTTTCTTTTGCTGGCTAAAGGAAAAAATAATAATAATAATAATAATAAATAATTTTCGGTTTGACTTTAAAAAATTTTAAAACGGAATGTTTGATTTTTTTTTTTTTTTTTTTTTTTTTGTTGTTGTTGTTGAATAAATCCAAATTTCTTCCCAAAAATAGAAAAAAAAAAAAAGTTGATATTATTTTTAAATATTATTATTATTATTATTATTATTATTATTATTATTATTATTATTATTATTATTATCATTATTATTATTATTTGAAATCGTAAGATGATTATCATATGTAGTTTTACATTGTTTATATCTATCTTTTGTCTCTCTTCGACTCTTGGGAACGTTTATTAATTTATGATGATGATGGGGTTTAATGCCCCCCGAAAAAAAAAAAAAAAAAAATCATTTTATTATTATTATTATTATTTTTTACGTTACTAAATGTTGGGGGGAGGGGGGGGTTTGTTATCGGTTGGGCGGTATATTTAATATTTTTTAATAAAAAAAATGGATAAAAAAAAAGCACAAAAAACAAAAAATTTATTGTACTGACTTTGAATGTCAGAAATTTTAATATTTATATTTTTATATATATAAAAGTTTTGTGGTTTTTTATTATTATTATTATTATTAAAAAGTGTCATTCATTACTATTTTTTTTTTTTTAAATTAATAATAATAATAATAATTGTGTTTATTTCTGATGTTCGAACCAAAAAATTTAAAAAAAATTGAAAAAAAAAAAAAAATGAGTTAAAAGAAAACACTTTAAATAGTGTAGAGGAGCCTTAAACAGTAAATTACATATATATTGTTTAATTATTATTATTATTATTATTATTATTATTATTATTATTATTATTAATAATAAAATACCATCCGCCCCCGGCCCCCCGAGTACGATGGAACGGGGGAACGGGGGAGGGTGATGACGCCGTTTTGTTAAATTTTATCGACCAATCGAAAAAAAAAAAAAAAAAAAAAATCACTAGCTAGTAGTAGTTGATATTTATAATAAAAAAAATAATAATAATAATAATTTAATAATGATAATGATAATAATAATAATTAAAATGTTTTCTCGATGGGTGTGTTTATGTATGTGCATACACACACTCACCCATATAATAAATTTTTTTTTTTTTTTTTTTACAATGGATGATGAATACATCCGCGCGTACTGTTTTTGTTGTTGTTATTATTATTATTATTATTATTATTATTATCACTGTTACATTTCGAATGTTTTGTCATTTAAATAATAATAATAATAATAAACTGTTGATTGTAAGGTTTTTTTTATATATGAAATACGTCGGTTCCAAAAAAAAAAAACAAGAAATCAATTTTTATGATTTCCGGCTTTTATTTTTTTTATTTTTTTGTCATTTATTATTATTATTATTATTATTATTATTGTTAGCTCCAGGTACGAAATTATTTTATGAAAAGAAAAAAAAAAAAATTTCGAACCTTTCGATGCAAATAATTACTATGTATATGAGAAGAAAACATTATTATTCTTGTATTATTATTATTTGTGTGTGTGCGCGTGTGCACGGCGCACGTGCGCGCGTCCACGTGTTATCAATTATAAAAAGTGGTGCCTGTGCCATTATTTACGATTGATAAGTTTTATATATATATTCATACATGCACCTGTTTATTTCACTTGGTATCGATTTTCTATTTTAATATTTGGTGTTCGTGTTGTGAATTGGTCGTTGACGGTTAAAACTCTACATTACATTTATATTTTAGTCATTTAAGTATTTTTTTTTTTTTTTTTAAGTTTAAACAAATAGTATGTAAGTGCAGGATTTAAAAAAGGAAAAAGAAAAAGGAAAAGAGTAAAAATTCTCACAATCTTTTTTTTTTCTTTTTTCTTCTTCCTTTTTGTAATATTTTATTTTAATTTTTTTTTTTCTTCATATATAATGTAGTTACGTTATTATTATCGCTTGTCGTCGTTTGTTTGTTTGTTTGTTTGTACGTTTGTACGTAAAGGTTAAAAAAAAAAAAAAAAATGTGGCAAACGATTTTTAATTCGTGCCTGCCTGCCTGCCTACCTACCTACCTACCTACCTACCTGCCTCCTGCTATTCTAATACATATATATATTTTTATTTGAATTAAAAAAAAAAAACAAATAAATGTCGAATGAAAAGCGATAATAATAATGATAATTGCTAGTAATAATAGTAACTAATAATTTTAGTTGTAACTAATAAAAAAAAAAAAAAAAAAAAAAAAAAAAAAAAAAACAAATACTGAGTGCTAGTCATATTGTTACGGCAGACAGGAATATTGTCTTGATCTCCTGTTGTATTATTATTATTATTAATTATTAATTATTATTATTATTGATAATTTTTTTTTTTTTTTTTTTTGATGTGAGTTCGTGCGTGTGCGTGTAAAATCTTCGTCTGATGGTGGTTTATTTAAAAAGTGTTGATTTTTTTTTTGTTTTTATATAAAATTATTTTGAAATTGAATTTATATTTAAAAAACCTATGTACGGGTATTTGATACAATAAGTATTACTCGATTATAATAAAATCGATAAAAACAATCAATCAATCAATCAATCAATAAGTAAATAAAATTTTTTTTTTTACGTCATTAGTTAATCGCGTCACATAATTTTCTTTTTTTTTTTTTTTTTTTATTTTAATCGATAAGTTTTCTCATTTT